TATAATGTAATTATATATTATTTATCGCTGTTTATTATTAATTTATTATTAAACTTAATCTGAATCAGCCTTACTTTTGTATCAGATCACTGAATTATGTGTCACTATGCTCATATCGCGTCTTCGTAATCACACACCAGCATTAGATGCTCTCATTCTTGAAAAATTTGTCGATGTTGCTTTAATATCTTCTGATAAAATTTTTTTGGAAATTGTACGAAAGTTTTCTGAAATTAGTCGCCAAAAAATATCATCCGATAACAAAATGATCACGACTACGGTAAATGTTATTATTATTTTGAAAAGGTTTTTAATTTTGTATCAATATTAAATTTACATTAAATTATTATAATTAAAGGTCCTTAAATGTCAGATGGACTTGGCTAATAAAATCAGTGCTAGACCAGAATTTTATGAGCTTTATTTGTTGAATATTCTATCACTATTTGTAGACAAAGGTGTTGATATTCAACAGACAATTGCCAAGAATGGAAAATTTCAGGTATACTATATTGAAAATCTTATTTATCAGTAACATTTGATAGTAAAGTCTTACTTAACTTTAGTAAATATTTATGACAGGTTACATCATTGATAGGTGAAATTGGAATATTACTTCCAGTTCTTAAAACTCTTTTGTCTCACAATGATTTTAAAGTGCATGTGAACGCATCTAAAGAATTAGTCAGCCTTTTTCGTGACATGTGGTTTCATTGTGTGTTATATGGCTTTGTTTCTGAAGAATCATGGATGCGTGAATGGCGTGATTGTTTAATTATGATTGCTCAAAAAACACCACCACTTGTTCAGGAAAGTGCAACAAATTATCTTGAAAAAGATTTAGAATATAATTCAGTTTTAGTCAGAGGTAACTCTGACCAGGTTCGTTTTATTTTTATACCTCCAACAAATTGGTATGATTTTAGCATATTGATTATATATGTTAATTTTAGGAACTTGCAAATGTACGAAATTCATTATCTTCTTTTCTGCCGAATCGTGCATATGACATAAAATATTTCTCATTTGCGGAAGTCACATTCTTGCTCTCGGTGTATCATATAGAAATCATGAGAAGTCAAATGGGTCAATGTTCCTTTATTTTAAGATATTTTATTAATCAAGGCGTAAATGCTAGTAAATTAGTTGGCTGTATGGAAGAGATTGGAAATAAGGTACGATTTTAAATAATTACTGAAACTATTTCTTTATTAAGCTTTTCATTTTCTTTCAATTAATATAGGTAATTGACGTTTTCATCAAAGAATGTTCAAATAGAGCAATCGCTCATACTATCAACGAAAATTTCCGCACTCAAGTGCGTAATCTTATGATTGCCACTTGCCATCGTCTTGGAAAAGTTCATCAACTTGCCATTAAACATCTCGACAGTTTGATGACAGCATTTCCTTCTTTGTTGTGTGATAAGAAATTACTATTTCTATTATTGGAATTAATCGAAATTGTGTGGCAAAGTTGTGATTCTGAATATACAAATGAGGTATTTCATTACAAATTAATATTTAAAATTGTACATATTTATATTTTATATTTCATAAATATATAACAAATTTTATCAAATTATATCAAGTATTCGCCAACTTATACGTTCATTTCTGTTAAAGTTGGTGTAACACTTGATTTGCCAGATTCTTATACGTATCGGCGTGAAATATTATCGCAACTATGTGAAAATGCTAGAAAATGGCTTTCATTTGTTATGGCGCGTGCTCCTTCAGAGATCCGTGGATTATTAGAAGTATTATCATAATAAAGTTTAAAGTTATAATTTTTTAAAAGCATTTGTTTTTATTATTGAATATTAAGTAACTATTATAATTATAGAACTATCTTGCAGAATATGATCCATATCATTCAGATAATCCAGTACATATGGGAAGGTCAATTGCGGTTGAAATTGCAAAAGGCTTTTCTAAAAATGATTACAAGTCAGGTAAAATATATTATTCATATAATTATGCTTCATTAAACATTAAAAGCCATAATTAGATTACTATATATATATAGGAATATTTCCAAGAATTCCGAATGCTATTGTTGATAATGTTTCTGAGTTCATTAAAGATTATTCTTTAAGACGACATTATTATGGCCAAGCAACTGGCGCGCATCATTGTTTGGTTTCTGACGTAGATCAAGGTAAGCTGGTTTGAGATATCTAAACATGAACGGAAATAATATTCTATTATCAATATGTCGATTGGTTTTTAATTATTCTTGTAGCAAATAAACATGATATCTCACCGGCTAAAATATCTGATGATATAGCAGAAGTTCAAAAAAGAAAAGTTCATGCTTCATTGGCTCACCTTGAAAAAAGAATACTTAATAATCATAATGTTCCTATAAAAGAACTTAGTTCTACATTACATCTGGCGGCTGGCTTATTAGTTGCATTTTCAAAGGTATGAACCTATCCAATGCTTCTATTATAATATGGATCACTTTCGTGTTAATGCATCTTTATCCATTTAATATTAGCTTGAAGAAGACCTTGTTCATTTCATTGTATGGATTCCTGTGTATTTATTTTCACCTGAATCCGTTAAATTGGGTACTGAAGTATGGAATTGGATAATAAATGAAAAACCTACATTCGAGCAGAGAGTTATGGTTGAAATTGCAGACGGATGGTCTTGGACTGTACGACATCGCAAGGGCCTATTCTCTTCTGTACTTAAGTAAATAAAGATGTCTGCAACTAAAATGAAAGAGTGTGCACATATATATCTTATGTGACTAAATTGACTTTCTAATTTTTTTTAGCATAAAAGACCCTTTTGTGAATAAAATGCAGTATGCACCATCGGACAAAGCCACTAGGGATAAGAATTATAAACTTGCTAAAGATTTATTTGAACCACATTTAGTCTGGATTCAATTTTTATCTGGTCGGTTCCAAGCATTCCGATATAGAAGTAATGAACTGGTATACCTTTATATAAGACTCTTTCAAATGACTCTTGATAATTGCGATCATCATAGGTATATTATTTTATAATTATATAATTCTCGGTTATAGTTTAATTTATATTCTAACCTAAACATACTATTATTCTCTAGTAATCACTCATTATCTCGAGAAGGTAGATTCCAAATACTTATAATTGCATTTAGAATTTTACAGTCCAATAGGATGGAAGCATCAATAGAGTATAAATTCCGTTTAAGGCTTTATAAGACCGCTTTCTCATGGTTTTCTCTTCCACCAAAGTACATATATATATATATATTTTTCACATATAGTAACACTTGTTAAAATTTCATCTGACTTCATTTTAATTGTCTGCTTTTTTTTTATGTTATTGCCATTATAAGGTGGGTTTATGGTGGAAATAAGAGGGGAATGCTTAGTGAATATAAGCTATTGATTGAGGTATATAAGTTGGTCGAGAATGATAAAATTGAATTGAATGAAATTTTAGTTACCACACCCAAAAAGTATTCTCAATTCGCTTTATCAAGTCCGCTAATCACGGCTCAAGGTTTGCATATTTAATATACGTTAAAAAAATTTTAACAGAAATAGTGCATAAAGGTTTCCTAAGATTTTTGTTGTGAGCTAATTTGTATTAAATTTCAGATAAAAGCAAAGATGATCTTGTAAATCAATTTAAAAAGTCTAGAAGTCTTTTACTGCTATTTTTGGAGAGCGAGATAAATAATATGGCAACATGGTGTAATCCATTAAATTCCCCAGACACAATTAGAGATACATTTGCCCCTAACACAGAAAAGGGATTATCAGAGGTATTATAATATGTTGCATTATGTCAAGTGAAATCTTGTTTGTCGCAATGTTTAATGTTTGCGTATTTATTTTTATTGAATGTAGGAAGAATGGAAAAACATTATACGTCATTCATGGACAATATTACCAAGTTTAACTGTACAATTAGCAACAAGATTTAAGCAACCAAATGTACAAAATGAGGTTCATAAAATATTATACAATAATTCAGCAGATGCTATACGAGTAGCCGATGCATTGCCCTTATTATTAGGCGATAAATTAAATCCTAATATTACTTCACAATTAAAAGTACGACGATTTTTATAAATTTTTTGATGCCTACTTATATGTTTATTAATTTTACAATTTGACCTATTTAGTATCTACTATATTGGGCACCGGTTCCTCCAATAACAGCTACATCGTATTTTTCGGCAACTTATAATAATCATCCCTTAATTTTACAATATGCAATGCGTGTTCTTGAATATCATCCAGTAGATGTTGTATTTTTTTATATCCCACAAATTGTACAAGCATTACGGTTCGATAGTCTAGGTATGAGAAATTTTTACAGACATATAAGTTGAAACTGTAATATAATTATTGTTACTCTATATAATTAGGCTATATAGAAAGATTTATCTTTGGAGCTGCTAAGATATCACAATTATTTGCTCATCAAATAATATGGAATATGAATGCAAATACGTATAGAGATTATAAAGATGATGAATCATCATCAGTTGTAAGTTAATAATTTTAGAGTTTTATTTATTATCTGTTTTTTTTCCGCCAATGTTTTTTGTTTCCTCAATCCTCACGAATGAATTATTTTTAGCCTGATTCATTGAAACCAACATTGGATCGCATAATCGAAAGTATTGTAAACTCTTTATCAGGAGAAGACAAGAAATTTTATGAAAGAGAGTTTACATTTTTCAATGCAGTTACTTCTATATCAGGTAAACTAAAACCTTATATTAAAAGGACAAAGCCAGAAAAAAAGGTATATAATTATTGTTTTGATTAATCTTGTAACTAAAAAAAAAAAACATGCATTAATATTATATAAATTTATTTAGGCAAAAATTGATGAAGAAATGGCGAAAATAAAGGTTGATGTGGGTGTTTATTTGCCTAGTAATCCAGAAGGAAAAGTAGTGGATATAGATTACAAATCTGGTCGACCTTTACAAAGTCATGCAAAGGTTAGTTTTTATGAGATTGCTTAATAAAGAAAGTATTAAAATAATATAAAGATACATACTTTTTATTATATACATAGGCTCCTTTCATGGCTACATTTAAAATACGGAAAGAACGAAGTGATACTGATGAAGTTAAAGAAGCATTAATGAATGAATTAGCTGATGATGATGAACCCAAGACAATTGATGTGTGGCAATCCGCAATTTTCAAAGTTGGTGATGACTGTCGACAAGATGTACTGGCCTTGCAATTAATTGCAATATTTAAGAATATATTCAATAGTGTTGGATTGGATTTATATCTTTTTCCATACAGAGTTGTGGCAACAGCTCCAGGGGTGAGATATAAATTTTAGTAATTCAAATTTTATCGTTCTTAATTAATTTGAATTATTGTTATAGTGTGGTGTCATCGATGTTATCCCTAATTCAATTTCTCGAGATCAATTGGGCCGAGAAAAAGTGAATAGCCTTTATGAGTAAGTCAAATAAATTTAATATTTTAGGTTCTCTGAAAAAATTTTTTAATGGATTTGCATAAAATTTTAGATATTTCCTTACAAAATATGGTGGTTTAGATTCTATCGCTTTTCAAAAAGTAAGTCTTCACTATTATTATCAAACTTTATTTTTTTAAAAAAAAACTTACCATTATCAATCACTAATTTTAGGCAAGAAATTGTTTTATTCAAAGTGTAGCTGCCTATTCTGTTGTATCGTTTTTATTGCAAATTAAAGATAGGCATAATGGAAACATTATGTTAGACGATGAAGGACACATAATTCATATTGGTATGAATTAAACCGAAACACCAAGTTATTTATTAATTATAAAGTTTACATGTTGACAATTCTTGTAAATATTTAGATTTCGGTTTTATTCTTGATATTTCACCTGGTGGCATTAATTTTGAAAGTTCACCATTTAAACTTACCACTGAAATGATTCAAGTTATGGGGGGAAGTGCTGAAGTTCAACAATTCAAATGGTTTTCGGAGCTATGCATTAAAGCGTATTTGGCAGTAAGGTAAAAAAAAAATATCAAATTGTATTTGTAATTTTCACAAATCAAATAAGTTTTAATTAAAGATTTATTATTTATAATAATAGACCTTATGCAGAAAATATATGCCAATGTGTTGGTTTAATGCTTTGTTCAGGACTTCCGTGTTTCAAAGGTGAAACGCTGAAAAGATTACGTGAAAGGTTCCAATTGGATAAAACTGAACGTCGTGCGGCTGATTATATGATTGTGAAAATACATCAATCATTTGAAAATAAAAGAACAGTATGGTATGATAGTTTTCAAAAAGCTACAAATGGTAAGACTTTTTTAAAAACAAATTTTTGTTTTTTATATATATTAAATTTTAATATATATGTAATATATATATATGTATGTATTTATTTGATTTTAGGAATACCTTATTAAATTTAAACTTTTGGTGCAACAAATATTTATTGGAAATTAATGAACTTTACGGTTCAGGATATTTGATTTGTTAAGTATTTATGGCGATTAAATGTTTACGATTTTAGAAGACTTTGAAGTTATTTGGACATTTTTATTTTTTTACCTTGATTTAGATTTAATGATAAAAAAAAAAAAAATAAATAAATAAATAAAATAAATCAATATTTTACTTAAAACAATTATTTAGATATTTAGTAAATATTACATTTTGCAAATAAAACTGAAGTGGAATATTTAAGTTTTTTGAGAATGAAAAAGGGCTACTATTTGAAGAAATGTGTTTATTTTAAGCTTTAGAAACAAATGGTTAATCCATCAAATTATTAGAATAAATATCAATAATATAGTATTTGTAAAATAATAATGACGAGTATTTAATATATGAAATCTATTTATTAGTTTATCTCCTGGCCAACCCCATCTATGTAATTTTTTTCACGTACAAATTTAAATCGGTAATATCGATAATCTAAACCATTTCTTTCGTTATAAATAAAATCGAATACTCATACATAAATAAACACAAGAATGATCAACTATATAAGCTGTTTTGAGAAAAGAAACCAAATTAATAAAAAAAAGGTTTACGGAAAATTAATTTTTATATATATAATAAATTATAAAAAAATAGTCAATTTGTTTTTTTTTCTCAGATTACAGCCCACATAATATGATTAATAATCAGCAGTTTAATATTTTTCATGATCTTTATAATTTGCAATGGCGATTTCGATTTATTAATTGTAGCTTTTTAACTATATTTTTGAAATTCTGTTTTATTTTTTTACACTTTTACATTCTTTATTAAACAATCTCAAATATTTAATAGATATATTAGATTGAAAAACAACTTTTTATTAAAAAATTAATCAAAAAAAAAAAAAAAACTAATTTATTTGATAAATATTAGAGTTTTAGACTTGAAAATTTCAAAAATATATATGTTTATATAAAATAATTTCAATTTAAATTCGTCGGTCCTCTAAGAATTCGTCGATCTTGATCGGTCTTGCGGGAACATATAGAGGAGCGGGAACATACAGGGGAGCATTCGCGGGAACATACAGGAGAGCACTCGCGGGAACATACAGGGGAGCATTCGCGGGAACATACAAGGGAGCACTCGCGTATTACTTGCGTATTTCGTATCCTATATTTATACTGGTATAAAACCAAACAAGGACGTTTACAGTAACTGTGGCCGCGAAGAGCTTCCGGTTGCTTGATTTTATGTATTATTCACCACCTACAACGATTAATACCGATTTTCCGTTCACCCGACCCTCTTAAGTTGTAATTAACAGGAGTAATTGTCTTAATTAGTCCCGCGAACGTGAAATCAAAATCTTAACCGCAGTAGTGTCGTGGGGGATTAATTTATTATCGTTTAGATAACAAAACCTTGCTCAACAGATCACGTTACGACGTAACACACTCGCGGCTCGTCAATACTCGTTCTTGTATAAACGTCTTGTCCCTTCACCACGTAACAACTCCACTCTTTACTCAATTAAGAGACACGGCGTTACTAGTTAGTCTCTTCATTGCTAGCTCTAAAGACCTTAGGGATACTGAATCGAAGGCTTTTTTCATGTCTTGTTTACTTAAGTTCAAGTAAAAAAGTAGAAGTTCGATTTTCCAGATCGAACCCCATATTTATTTAACTACCCCAACAGCACCCACACGATTTCTGCTATCATGTAGATCTTGTGTAATATCAATATTGATGGAATGATAAGCAATAACGATAATATATTTTTTTCAAACTTTAGACGAAAATATAACAATAAAAT